TCAACAAAGAGCACAAAGGATACGCACCCAAAGGACAAATTTCGTTCATGTGCGGCTGATGTTGCTTCTTCAAACCACGCATTCACTCTCTTCGTTCTTCAATAAAGCAAAACAAAGCCACATTATTCACTTCATATTACCCTTTACACACCCACCTCTCAGAATCCCTTGCGTTGCTTAATTAAGGCGAAACGAAGCATGCATTCATGCATTTGTCTTCTGTGTCGCTTAACTAAACCACACAACACGGTACGGTTATTGCTGCTGGAATCTGGGGTCGTTCGTCCGTTCCTTGTTTTCTCTTCGTTACATGAATACAAGTGAGCACAGCGAGCGCATTAAAGGGTTGTGCAGCGAACCCATTTTTTAATGGTTCAAGGTTGGCTTATGAAAGGCCGGTTTTGGGAAATACAAAGGGTCTTACATGAATGGACCGGTGTGTGCATGTATCGACTCTATGAATTGCTTAGGGGCCTAAGCGAATAGGGAATTGTTTTGGCTTTGGTGTTGATTGAAAACTGAGCATTTCAGTTGAGCCTTTCTGTTGTGTAGTTGCCAGTTTCGGAAAAATTGCGGATCACGGAGGCGTGTCGGAGTGTGTGTATAATAAATAAATAATATATATATGTATATGTACTACGTAAATACAGAAATTGTCTCCAGCTCTTTCTCTATCTTCATCATTAACCTCCCTCTATCCTAGCATTTATCTCTGCCTCGGTCAGCTCTTTCTCTAACTCCATGTCCATTGACATTTCCATCTCTCTCTCTCTCTCTGTGTCTCTCTCTGTCTGTCTCTGTCTCTCGGTATCTCTCTAGCTCTATCTCTGTCTCCCTCTATCTTTGTCTTAATCCTTCTCCATCTCTGCATATCCGGATCCCTGTCCCTATCTCTATCTCCATCATCGTCTCCGTCTCGCTCTCTCTCTCTGTCTGTCTCTCGCTGTTTGTGTCTCTTCTCTGTCTTTGATTCTGTCTCTATATCTCTTTATCAATAGTATATATATATATATATCTGTTTGCTAGCTCTCTGCCTCTCCATATCAGCCTTTATCTCTTTCCCAACCTCCATCTCTATCTCTATCTCTATTTGTGATATATGCACACACACATATATATGTATATATATATATATATGTATATATATATATATATCTATGTACATATGTAAAGCACATTTTGCTGTAAGAAGCCACAACGTGATATAATATAGTACAGCATGTGATGTGGTCTGTTACAAAATGCACAGTTTTTGCTTTCGGAACCTCATGAGTTCCCCTCCTTTAGTTTCAACTCGGGAAACTCGAGTTCTCGACGACCGACGAATCCGGCGAGCTCCAAGCAGGGCTAGCTTCCGATAACATGACACCATGGAGAGCTTCTTTTTGGCTTCAAGAGCCGAGACACCAGTGCCCAGAGTGCTACCCACTTCTCACAGACGGTTTAACGCAAGCTGTAAGCGGCCGCGCCCGCAAGCCGTACAGGGTTCCCACCCCGGCCCCATCCCAGACTAGCTTACGCTCGCACCTCGCAATGGGGAGTGCAGCGCCGACCTTGGCAGTTTCCCCTCTGGCTTGCTAGGCTGAATGCAAATGTCCGTTCTGCTTGCGACTGGGTGACACAGAGATGAAAGACAACGGCAATACAGAGGTCATACGGCAGCGAGCCTCAAGTGCAGCATTCCCGTGACAGCCTGGCAAGGTGCAGAGACCGGCCCAAAGTGACCCTTGCAATGCGACGGGCGGCCATGGCCATCTGAGCTGTCAGAAGCACCTCTTCTCGCTTCCCGAAGGCCTCAGTAACATGTAGCCCATAGATGTGGTCTGTTGTAGCCTGTAAGATTGTAAGGTGTGGTCTATTTAAACTGCGCCTCACGCTCGCCAATGCTTCGCTCAGTCCAAGCCTTGGAATCACGCATGGCACCTGGCCGATCTCTCTGAGCCTTAGGCTCTGAAGCGGCTGAGGTTGAGAAGCTTGGTCACGAGGCGGTGTCAGTGAAGAACCAGCCGTGGTTGATCGCAGACAGCGCTTCGGCACAAGTGCGGGCACTGTTTGCGCAGCTGGTGAGGGCAAGTCCCGACAACATCGCGCTGGCACCATCAACCTCCTATGCGATCTCACAGGCAGCGCACAACATCGCAAGGTCTGGAAGAATCTCAGCAGGCCCACGAGTCGCTCTGCCGGGGGTGGGGCGCGGGGATGCTATGCGGGTGAAATATTGGGAACCAATCTTCTGAAACCGGTAGGTGACGTGATCCTTGTGCTCCAGAACCAGATGAGCTCCAACGTGTATGCGTGGCAGCGCCTCTGTCGTGAGAGCGGCGCCCGCTTGGTGGCTATCCCGGAGCCACAGGAAGAAACGGAGGAGGAACCCGTGGAGCGTCGGCCAAAGCGCCAGAGCACCTGAAGCTGTAAACAGCAGTTACTTTGATTTGCTTGTCTACTTAGGGCCTAGCGGGGTTCTGCTTTAGGGGCTTCTGAGCACAGCGGTGAATGACTTGCACATGTTCGGGTTCGTTCGCAGACAGTGCTGCCATGCCGCTTTTTGAGCCCTGCGAATGACAAGGAACAGACTCCTCGATGTCAGCGATGACCCTGTCCCCTTGGGACGAAGCACTGGAAACTGCAGTCCGACTCCATGCCCAGCGCTCTCGGATAGCTGTCGTCGCTGTGCCCCACTTTCTGTGGACCGACGGTTCAGGGCCGATCAACTTGCACCGACTTCGATCCGTGCCCGAGCGGAACAGGTCCCAGGTTGTTGCAGCAGAGACTACTTTGAACTGGAGTATAGGAATCTCAAAAGACATAGGTTGAGGTGGACGCACAGCACCAGGATTAGTTGACACGGTCAAGGAATCACTATGACGATGGCAGCAATAGGAACGAAAACACTTGAGACGGCCATCGGTGGCCTCCTCCTTTTCCCTGTCATCCCCGTCGGCTTCGCCGTCATCACCACCACCACCATGATCATCATGATCATGATCATGATCATCATCATCATCATCATCGTCAGTCATCATCATCATCATCATCATCATCATCATAATCATCATCATCATCGTCATCATCATCATCAGCAGCATCAGCATCATCGTCATCGTCGTCATCAACATCATCATCATCATCATCACCTCTTTTTCTTGAGGCTTAGCATCAGAATCATTTGTGTCATCAGCGTCATTGTAAGAACACGTGCATGTACGTGTGCGGGATGATGGGTCAGAGACCTAACTGCTCCACTCACGTACATCACAAAGAGCAGCAGCAACTTTACCACATCGACACGCGGTAGTTGCGGGCAGGACCAGGCTTGTATGGGTGTCAGTGTCAGCAAGCCCCTATGCCAGCCCAGGTGCTGGACGAGGTAGCGTGGGGCCGGCGAACGGTCCTGGTTGTAGACGCCACGCAATCTCTAGGCGATCCAGGGAAGCCTATTTCACGCAAAGTAAGTGTTGTTTACAGTATATTATTATGCTATACATGGCCCGGGGTGCTGAGTGCAGGCGTGGTGCCTATTCAGGCAGAGTCCTGGGGCATTGACTGGCTGGCCTGCTCTGTGCACAAGTGGCTCTTCGGGCCGTACGGCTTATCTCTGGTGCCTCGTCGGGCTTGTTCGGCAGTCGGTAGGCCGGTTGAAAGCATGCAAGCACCTCAGAGCCTTGTTCCAATCTGAGGTGTACGTTTCACCCGAGTGGAGCCAGGATGCCGCAACTGAGCCCATAGTCCAGGATGAACACAACCGCCTTGGCGCAGATGGAGACGTTTGCCTACCCTTTGACCTGGAGAGACCAGGTTACTCGGAGCCTTGCAGGAAATTAGTGTGAACTCTACCAGTACTCTCACATGTGCAGCTGCCAAATGCTGCGAAGCAATTCACGAGGCATGTCTCATGCGACCTAATTGTATCTCTGCGCCTGCTGAGGAAGATTTTCAGGAGGGTGCGAGAAAATTCGACGCGGGCGGTCGCGTCAATCCCATCTTGATACCAATGGTTGCCGGTGCTTTGAAACAGGCTGGGCTGCGACACAAAAACATGAAACTTCGGTAAGTAAGTTTGCTAGCTTCAAGAGGTTCTCGAGTGGCACCCGGATCGCATTGGTGCCACACTCGCGCCGCTCACGCACCTTGGTTCATCTCAACAGCTGTATGTGGTTTTGCGGGACAGAAGGGCCCTGTTCAAGAACATGTGACGGCCCCACAGAATCCTCCCTGAAGCCTTGAGCAATCATCAGCACCCGTGCTCGGTGACTCAGGGCGCAGTGTGCCGAAGGAGCTGCCAGCTTGGGCTTCCAAGTGCCATCTTCTCATGCGCCACACTTCATTGGAGTGGGCCCAAGTGCAGCCCACCTCTCAGCGTTTCACTGTGTCGTACATTCGTTTTGCGTAATTTTTCCATTGCTCACGCAGCGTTGTGACCGAGGAGGATATGGAACGTGAACTACTGCACGGTGAAGGTGAGGCAACCGCACGAAACCGATCGCAAGCTGCGGAGAGGTGGGCTGATGCTGCCGCTGCATACTTGAAGAGACACAGTGGCTTTGAGAGCACTCCAATGCTATCATATTGCAGATGAAGGGGTCGCAGAAACTCAAAGGATGTGCAGCACATCACGCAGCCCAGTGCATGGAATCACTGCGCACCCGGAGATTGTCCGAGGCATTCATGTGTCCTCAAGGGCTGGAGTTCTGCGTGTATCGCCACATCTTTACAACACATCGAACGACGTCAAAGCCTTCCTCGACAAGCTGGCATCTTTCAGGTGAGCCTTGGAATGAGCACGAGTGCACAAGCGATTACCGAACAAGCTGTTCTGCAAATGTCATACTTTGAGCTTTGCTGCAGGCGCTACTGGCCCAGCTAGCGACAACTTGGAAAAAAGGCAAGCCGTGGTGCTCTCGATGGCATTTAACTTGAACTTAGAGCAGCTTGCAGCCTTGTGCACACTCCTGTTTTTCCTTGGCTCCAGCGGCAGTGGTACAGGGAGCAGGGGAAGCCAAATGGCGCATGGCCCCTGGCGTGCCATGCTCGGGAGTGTAGTGCCAAGAAGCAATTGACACAGGTACACTTCGACTGCGCCTTTGCACGCTGCGGTTTGTCATTCCGTGAAAGTCTGTGAGAACGTTTGCTTGTGGCCATGACTTGCTCAAGAAAGAAAAATGGCAGTCGTATGTTTAATCCTTGCTATCCCGATACCACTACACAAGTGACTCGGTCTGTGCAGCTTCTGCTGTCTTGGAGTGGGGTCAATACCGGTAGTGTACTTCACCCGTTCAACGTAAGCCCGAGAGTCTTTGACCGACCCCTTCAGCCAAACTGTCCAAAGCTTACACCCTTCAGAAATGGGTCACCTAAACTCAAAACCCTAAACTCTAAATTGGCCCGTCAACCAAGGAAAGCAAAAAGCGCTTAAGATGCAGTGGACTGGCTCGGCCCTGGTTGTTTTCTGGCTCGCTGTGCTGGTTCAGGCCCGGCCCTTGCAGGTTCAGGGCTTCAGGCTTAGGACCTTACGCCCTAAACCTCTGGCGCTGCTCAGATGGATGTTGCTGCATCTTTGCAAATGGCAGTCGGCTAGAGAATATACACGGCTGACTTGATACCGCATGTCTGCTTGTACACGCCATCATTCTTATGATTATCTTTATGGTTGTCACTGGTTGTTTGTTGCCAGTACGACTAGCAGCCTTCTCAGCGTTTTTCGTATGCTCGTACGCAGGATCAGTACTCGGAGCTTTCTTACTGTGTGCATCAATCAATCAATCAGTCTGTCAATCTGTCAATCTATCTATCTGCCTGTCTATCTGCCTATCTGTCTGTCTATCTATCTGTCGATCGTTTGATCGATCTATCTATCCATCCATCTATCTACCTATCTAACTATCTATGTTAGTATCCATCTGCAATGTCTCTGCCCGCCCCCCCCCCCCATGATCCACCATCGGTGGGTCTGGGGAGTGGGGGGAAGGGTGGATTTGTGAGTTTCTGATAACAGCAAAGTCATCGTTTTGTGCAGTGATTACTATGTGTGTTACATATCCAAGAAAGACAGAGGTGAATTGAGCGGGGGTGACCATATATTTACATGTCCATATATCTACATGTCTATATACCTATATATCTATGTACTTCTATGTCTATATAATATACACCCAGGTATCTATATCTCCAGGATATATATGCACACCAGTACTTATATCTATATCTGCATCGTTTCATGTATCTATGTCTTTATACCTATTTATATCTGTATCTATATCTGTATACATATGCATACGCGTATACATACATATACATGCATACATAGACCCACAGACACATGGCAATTGTTTTCATCTGCTGGTCACCTTGCTTCTCCACGTAGTTACTTATGAATATTCTGTGCCATCTCCTTCTTTGTTGAGGCGCTGGGATCAGTGTGTTTCAATATATAGATGGTGGGATCAACGTGTTTGAGTATATATAGAAGGGTTCAAAAGCTATGGACACTCAGTGTTACGCTGTCCTGAACTGTGGGTTTAAGGTTGCTGCTGGCATAGACTACAGGACAGTTAAAAGTTTTGTGCCGTTTATCAGGGTGTCATTGCCTCGGTGGGCAAGGGTGGAACGAGTGCGTGGCCAGGTGTAGCTTCTGGCAAGAGAAGTGCTAGTATCACTGGCAGATTCGCAATGCTGGCATTGGTGGTTGCAGATGGCAGGGAGTCTGCGTATCCTGAGGCCCGAGAGGAGGACGAACCCCCAGAACAGTTCAAGATCTGCACCGGTCGACTGGAAGAAGAGGCGCGAGATGGAAGTTTGAATCAAGGTGAACTAAAGTAGAGATCTTCGCAGTTTGGACTACAGCTAGCACGAGGCACGATTGTGTGGTGGATGGTCGAGTTCCCACATGCTTTCTTGTCGGCTTGAATGCCTTACGGACGGACGTCCTGCGCAGTGTTCGTCTCGAACTTGCGAACATGCCCGTGTTCTGCTATCGTCTGCAGATGCGCTGCTTTCACTCGTTGCTTCTGGTTGCAGTGGCTTGAAGAGGTCTCCACCAGGCAGCTCATGCTTCAGGTATGTTGGCTCATCGGAAGTTCTGACTGCTGCAGTGAAGGAGACCTGGTCGTGTCCAGACGTAACTGCCGACAAGTGCGCCACCACGTACACTGCCGTTGGTGGTGGTGCCTACATGCAGACCCTTGGCAGATATTCTTCACCAGTTTTTGCGATGATTCCCAAGCTAGTTAGGAGCCCAGGAATGTTCTCGAGTATCCGACCGAAACTAGATTCCAAGCGTGAGACACTCAGGTGTGGTCGGGATGGGAAGCTTTGCCTTCACTCAGCCTTTTGCGACACGACCACTACGACCACAGCATCTTTCCTGAAACCGCTTGGTTCGAACTCAAGTTGTTGTCCATGTAGCAATGCTTCGGGCTGCAGTTCCGGCTGACATGTCCGGAGTTGCAATACCTCGTAGCATGAACTGCAGAGCATTAAGCTTGTAGAAACGACCATGTGATACGGATACCTCGAACGCACCGCAACCGTTGCTTTGAGCACAGAGCAGAAGCTTCGCCGACCCTGTGTCAGTTGCCGGGATTTGTCTTGATTGATGACGACGGCCTCTGGGTGAAGATCAACCAGTGGACCCAAGGCCTGTATGAAAGGCGCGGCAGACATGCAAGTCAGCTTAGGTCATAAGCGAAGTTGCTCCCGTGTCGCGCGAAATGTTTTGACCACTGACGTCATGCGGGTCGTTGCAATTTGTTACACGGCGCTGGTTCGCTGCACTCAGACGCAAAGATCCTACCCAAGAATACTGTCATAGCACAGCTTTAGAGTGTCGTGACGGTCGGTCCGCCCTTCCGTCCAAAGAGTCTGCGTTTGGCACTGCTTCTGAACAATGATGTGTGAGGGCTAAGACTCTGATGAGGTTAATCGTCACAAGCATGTCTAATGAGTCTAATTCCAACACTGTCACACAGTGGATATTGTGGCAGCGGCATGCGCTGCTGCCATTGTGACGGCGGGGTGCGGCGGCTGCCTCCTGTATTAAGTCTTCCTTCGAGGCACTATTAGCACCGGCTTTTTCCCTGTGACTCCACTATGATGTCCTATTCCATTCCAGTAATCAGTCCTTGTTGTAGCCAGCTGCAGGCAGAACAACGCCTACGGTACGGTGAGAACGAGTGGTCCAGGTGATGGCAAGCTCGATGACGGTGTGCAGCTTGACTGAATCAAGCACAGGTTAGACTGATTCGACTACCTCTCGCAGGGTCTTTATGGTAGGCCGTCCAGCAGGGGCTCGTGCATGGAAAGAAATCGTGCCTTGCTGGATTTGACGATGGTAGTTAACATCGTGGCTGGGATGGAAGCGATGAAAGCGACCGGTTCGTCGTCAGTGACGGCACTGAGTCAAACAGTGAGCAGCTGAGGGAGAGAGAGCGTCATCAGGCACTGTGGTCTTCCGGGGAAGGGATGGCTAGCCGACGGCTCCTTCATACGGGAGGGTGCGCGCAGACGCGAGCCGTGGGGGCAGGCATTGCACTAGGGGCTGTGGCCCTGCCCCTAGCAAGCAAGCAAGACTTCAGCCCTGGAGCAGGGCTCCCCCCTCCTGCTCTCCATGCTTGCGACAGAAATGCTTCAGCCTGAAAGAGAGAAATGAGGAGAGAGAGACGAGAGAGAGAGCGGGAGTGCGACATCCTGCCGACAGCCGCGCAGCCGACCACTCGCTAACACAATGGGTGGTTGGGTGGGCCGAAGACCTGAGGGTCGCGTGCCGACCCCTAAGCACAGCAGAAAGAGAGAGAGAGAGAGAGCACACGAACCATGTCTTTTTCTGAGCTCCGACTGTTGGTGCCCCTTAAAGCCTCTAAACAGGGGCGCGCCTTTCAGCGCGGGGGGCCTGACACGCCTCCTGAACCCCGAAGTGAAGTGAAGTGAAGAGA